AGGCCACTCGCCTTGCCGCTGACAGACGGCTGTGTCTCCCCGCGACGCCGAACAGCACAAGCGGAAGGAAAACTAAAACTAACTCAACGTGCTAATGCTATAAGTCAAACACAGAAAGCCCGAACTTTATCTTCCAATGCGCAAAGATATTTTCTTGCAAGGCGTTATAAAGATAAGAATAATTCAAATTTGCTAATACTGTGCCTCAATAAAAAAAATAAAAAGTGAATAGGTGTTATTCATGTTATACGTTGATTCTCCACACTGGATCCTTAATTAATAGTTCTGTCGGTGGGACAAACAATATGCTGATTGCATCCTCTGCATAAGGTGTGTAAGACCACACCAAAAGGGAGACATGCGGACCCGGTTATATTTGCCTATTTCAAGTATATACAAGACCAATGTTTACCTATAGAGTTATGTATGAACACAACTAGTGCTTACCTATAGACTTAAGTATAAATGTGACCAATGTTTATCAATAGCTTTATATATGAACTCGACCAATTTTTATCTATAGATTCAACTATCGACATAACCAGTGTTTACTTATAGACACGTGTATACATTTTTTAAAAATAGATTCTGACATTGAATAGCCCAATAATGGCTGATATATTGTAAAATCCACCAACTCAGCCATAGTCACTATTATTAAACATACTCACAGAGGAAATTCGTGTTCAAATTACGTCGTAAACTATTTTTTTATTTTCAGTCAATGCGGCTAGAAAACGCAGCACAAATAAGGAAAAATCGCATTAAAATCCTTAATAATAACCTGGGTTCTCGGCTTCAGTCACTTTCTCACCGACGCTTCCCTCTGTCTTTTCTCCAAATATTTTCATGCCAACTGTACTGATCAGCTTTTTCTCATAGTTCCTCGACTACATGAATTTAAGCGTGCTACTAGATTGGTAATTAGGTCCCATCGTTCAACTGTTGAACTAGCTGGATGCAGCTGCCACTTCTATTCTAAGTTTATTTTCTTACACTTCTCCCTTGTGGAACTATCTCAATTTCTTCCTTCCCTAGTACCTACAATCTTCAAAAATTTTAATGCAACATCAATACTATGCCTTTATTTTCCTTCCCTCGCTTCTCCTGACTAAAGTCCCTCTTTCGCTCTCTGTAACTCCCAGCATCCTAGTGTCATTATCGCCTTGCTCGAGGTGAAACGATAAAAAAAATCATGTTTCATTTAAGGAATTCAGACAAATTTCATTGGATATAAAATGGGGGATCAATTCTATATTATAATCAATATAAAACTGATATTTTACTTTGTGACCACAGTAATTTCTGAACATCTATATTTCAGCGAATGTAAATAAATCTAAGAGACATGCCTGTGTAGCTAATCAGTATTTCAGTGATTGATTGATTCGTTTTCTGTGGCTTATCAACACTTTGCAGATTATTTAAAGCCAGAAAATATTTTTACATAGTAAGAATGTTGGGGGAGATAATAATGATTTAGTGATACAGGTCTTACTAATTAACCTATAGCTGGGAGGAAGACGTAGATTCATACCTTTTCCCAAGGATATTTGAGTATAAGTTAATACAACGAACCCAACTGGAATTGGAACTCGGCTCTCCTATTTCCAAATCTTAGCCGTTATCCATTACGCCACCCACACATCCAAACTTACAGCATCTGGTATTCCTAAGCAGTCGCACATCTAGGTACTGACCAATCTGATATTTCTTAACTTTGGTGATTGTGCGGGAACCGCTGTTTCAACGGGATATAGACTGATATTTATTCGTACAAAAAGTACAAATTGTGGCACGAGGCCAATAAAGGGGAGGGGTAGAGGCTGGTCAACACTAACTATCTTATACCTAGCTAATCAGATTCGCGACCCATTCGTACATTACATTTTACTCATTCACCAAAAGAACTCGTCCATTACCAAACAATCCTTCAACCACCATAATACCACGTGCTCTCAAGGGAGACCTACCAAAATCGCACCCCATGCCATAAAAATTTTAATGATGATATATATATACAATTCTAATAATGATAAAATGAGAGGGGAGGGAAATGAACCCAATAATAAACTTAAAATAAACACAAATACAAACTAAACATAATTGATGTTAGTAGGGATATAGACTTCAACGGATATAGACTTAAGCCTATATGTTTGTTTTTTGTTTTTTTTTTTTAACTCCTTCACAAGGATACCGGTCGTAATAAACAAAGGAAAGAATAACATACTCCAAATTAAGTGGGGTGGTTTCTGATGGACAATCTCGGAAACTTAACTATAACGAATTGTTTAAACTAAGAATGAAAAACGGGTGAAAACATATAGTACGGTGGCGGCAGTAGAGAAGTCGAGAACTCTGATGGCCGTACTAGACTTCCTCTTACAGATGGCTTTGTGTATCCATGATTTCAACAGGGTGGCACATTATGCATGTTGAGGGGAAAGTAGATATCTGTTCCCGCTCCCTCTCTCCTTCTCTCTCTATCACTCAATTACCCCCCCCACACACACACACAATTTTCCAACCGCTTCCTCCCGAAAACAAAGCAAGAGAAAAGAAACCTGAAGAAAATTGTCGTTGATTCAGCCCAAGCAATCAAAGACGTAAAATATTAATTTTTTACTGGTCTTCTTTTTTTTTCATTATTTTCCCGTTGCTTTTTATTTTTACTCTTAGATCATAATTCTGCTCTCGTTGAGTATGCAACGTTAATCCGAAATAATCTCTACTGAGATTTGAATTATCCTTGTGATCAACAGAATAAAAACATGAAAGAAACGATTGTTTTTTGGGGTTTTTTTAAGTTGAACTGATCGTGAAATAGCGAGACGCAACAGGAGTAAGGATGATGCATATCAGTCAAAGATTGCAATAAATAGATCGGACTAAGAAAGATAGTCAGAAACTTGTAATCATAAAATGACTCTATTTTGTAATACACATGTTACAGATTGTGTAAGCTAGACAATGGCAAAAAATAATAATTGTAATGAATGTAGTTACAGACCATACCGTACTGGTCTTAACTTTGTTTCAAAACGACCCTAATTGTGTGGGGATTGTTTGGACACCGTCGATATGGAATTCTGTCTGTGATGGACTGTCTTTTTCTAAAATTTTAATCTAAGAATGTAAAACCCGTGAAAACGGGCAGTACGGTGACGGCGGTAGAGAAGTCAAGAACTCTGATAGCCATGCGAGACTTCCTCTTACAGATGGCCTTTGTCTACCCGTGATTTCAACAGGGTGGCACATTATGCATGTTGAGAGAATAGTAGCTGGCCAACCTTTTGATATCCGTTCTCTCTCTTCCTTCCCTGCTTTCGCTCGCTCGCTCTTTCTCCTCCAGAAAACAAAGCAAGAGAAAATCCAGTTTCCACTAGCAGCCGTGTTCTGCGAACAGACTTGTTAATAACAAAACATCAACAATGGTAACATTGTATCAGTCAATAACATCTCGTAACTTATTAAATACAACAGAAATACTAGTAAAAAATTAATACTAATTGGAGTTACTAGTATTTAATTTTTCAACATGTTATCATTATTTGAATTATCTTGAATATATTAACTTTCTCATTATTGATTTTTGATAAGTATTTCTTTCATCTTACTTTATTTGCTTAACTCTCCTATCGTCTTTCTATGATCGTTAAGTAAGCAGGGTGGGTCCAAAATACAGAGTTAGCTTTCATCGAGTTTTGAACTCACATCGTGTATCTTTGGAAACCTGACTTGATATTTATTAGCTACTAAGTGTGGCTTTGTTTTGTATGGGGCACCTAGTGAGGAACGAACTCAATGAGTTACAAGTCCAACTTGCTGACCATGACAGCACAATGAGGCACCTCTGTCTTAATGAGACTTGTTATTTGCTAAGCGTATATTTTGTTCGGGCATAAAGCCACGAGTCTGAGGCACCTGATGAGGAATGAATTCACTAATAATTATATTTAAGGCCAACTTTCGTACTATTAACAGTGATGAACATTGACAAAGCGACTGGAAAATAAGCTAGCTGACACGATTCTATGTGTTGCATTGAATTTATCCTGGAAACAGCACCTAATAAAAAAAAGGTTTTATGGCCACCAACCTCCCATCTCACAAGTCATTCGGGAAAGAAGAACGAGATTTGCGTGGCAGTCTAAGGATGAGCTTAATGGTAAATTCTGTTATGGACACCAAAACATAGAAACACGAGATCTGGTCGCTCATTCAAAATATACATCTAAAAATTATGTGAAGACACACGATGCCAAACTAAAAACCTGCGAGGTACGATGGATAATCGTGCAATCTGGAGATAAAATGTTTCGAGGATCAGTAATATTGACACCACAATGAGACACCCTTCATGAATCTTCTAATAAAAAGAAATATAAGTAAAGATAAGAAAAACTAATAAAAAAATGAATAGCGATTGTTAATGATTCATTTGAGATATTCGCTAACGTTAACATTAAAAATGTTGATTATAAAAATAGAATGAAGGAATTTTCTCCCAGGGCAGTCATCTTGTGAATAATTCCGAATATAAACTCTAAAAACCGAAAAAAATTAGCTAATAAATTATCCGAAAGATTTGCCCCTTCGATGTGACTTACGTACAACAAACATTGGTGGGTGAGGGTTGTATGAACAATGTGAGTCATGACAAGGATGATATCCATTTGTATATCTGTGTGTTTCCTAACTAATATGTCTGCTGGTCAATGCGTTTCTCAGAGCACCTGTGAAGCAGGGAAAACTGTAAGTTCCAGGACAGTGGAAGACAAATCCGATGACAAATTGGAGACAAAGGAAGGTGTGATGAGCATGGCAGCAATTTATATGGGTGGAGGTGGATGAGTAATAGTCCGATAGCATATCCCGGCATTCTGACTCGTTTCGACAGAATCCATCTTACCGCAGCGCGTCTTGTCCCCTTAGGGATCACGTGCGCTCTGAACTGATTTTTCCCCTCTCCTCTAGAAAGGAGAGTTCCACACACCTTACTTCATGCCGATACAAATTAAAAATACGCGCATCGTTCGGTCGAATCTCAGTTCTTGTGGTGGTGGCGGTGGTAGGTGTAAGGTGGTGAAAGAAAGAAAGAAAACTGAATGGTATATATAAATAGAAGAAAGAAAAAACAACGAAAGATACAAATATAGAATCTTAAATGTAATAAAAAAGAAAGAATGAAAACTCATTAGCAAAAAAAAAAAAAAGAAAGAGGAATTATAAATATAACAGTAAAAGTTGAAGGAGAAAGAAAGAAAATTGTATTGTAAATAAAGAAAGGAAACTGGGCCGTAAGAAAGAAAGAAAGAAAGAAAGAAAGAAAGAAAGAAAGAAAGAAAAAGAAAGAAAAACGGAATTATAACTATAATAGAAAAATTTGAAATTAAAACTGAATGAGAAAAAAAGAAAACTGGATTGTAAAGAAAGAAAGAAAGAAAGAAAGAAAAAAAGAAAGACGGAATTATAAATATGATAGAAAAATTTGGAATTAAAAGTGAATGAGAGAGAAAGAAAGCTGAATTTTAAATAAATAAAGAACAACTGAATTTTAAATAGAGATAGAAAAAAACTTAATAGAAAAATAGAAAAAGAAAATTTTCATAAAATAAAGCGAAATATAAGAATAAATACAATAATAAATAATTTTCCGAAGAAAGAAAGGATTGATTCATTCGGTTTTTTTCTAATGTTTGTCCCAAATATTAGCCCTTAATAAAATATTACCTCTGGTAATAGGAATACGCTCAAAAATGGCGGTAGAGGCATCGTCCCTCCATTTTCCTTTTCTTTCTCCTCCGCCCCTGACCTGGCTATTTCTCATCAACTTATTACGCAGACGCACATTAGAGCATGTGGAACTATATAAATTAATATGCCCGAAATGAATGCTGTCTAAACATATCGGATACTCCCGTATATTGGCCATTTCAATCATGCAAGTGCTCAATCAAACTCTCTCTCTCTCTCTCTCTCTCCCTCCCTCACCCGTTTTCCTTTTCACTCTTTCTCTCTTTCAAATACGCACCCGCCCACGCACATACATACAAATCGACATTCAAAAATACAAACTCAGAAACACTCCATACATTGTAAAGTACAAGCAGAATAAGTTAAACACTCGCACACACTCAAACATTTACTCACACATAGGCTCAAGGAAGAGAAAGTGGGCACATATTGTGACTCATCGAGTAAAGACGTTGGTTCTGTTGGCATCTTTACCTGGAAACGAAATAAACAAAAGAATGTTATTGGCCTCGTTCCAATTTACTATAATATCTAACTTTTCAGATATTCTAGATAAGATCAGCTAAAATTTCGGGTAACGGTTTGTTTTTGTTTGTTTCTTTTTTAAACTTTTTGTTTATTTTAGTCCATACCGTCTGCTGCAGAATTTTCAATTTGTCTTAAATAGGAAATTAAATTCTTGCCTTAAGATAAACCCAACTTTCTTATTTTCATCATTGTTTCCATAAAAGCGAAGCAGATTTTGCAATACTGTCTTACGTTTTTTATGGTTTTTTTTTTTTTTTTTTTGCCTGTTTGTCTTTCTTTTTTTTTTTTTTTTTTTTTCAAATGAATACCAGACTCTAGCAACGAAAACTTTTCACAAAGGTTTATCTTGCTGAACAAAATATGTCGACGATGAAACCTAACATGTACTTTAATATCAACGTACTTTTTGTTACCGCGGCAAACTGCGCTGAAAATATCTTTACTGTACAGAAGTACAATGTATTCGAACGAATTAATATAATGTATGCTTATTTCCATGTTCGTTGTCTAAGCAAGTGTTTGTCTATATGATCGCTTGCGTTTCAGTGATTGTGTGCGACCAGACTCCCATCCGCCTGTGGCTGTATTAAACGATAGGCCATTATAAAACATCACATTAAAAAATATAAAAGATCCCATGAAGGGCGTTAATTTCGCTGCAGTTAATTTTTCTATTACTTTTTTTTCCCTCAAAAATAGATTATTTATCTTTTTTTTTCTTTTTTATCTTTATTTTGTCTGTTCGATTGTTTTTTTGTTTCTTTGTTTTTCTGGGTTTTTTGGGTTTTTTTAGGTGGGTGCTTTATTCGAATTTTAGTATTTATAACCTCGTTTTACGATGTATTTTTTTTAGTATATTTTTTCTATTTTATATGATTTCTTTTTCCTTTCCATTTTTGGCAATATTTGTGTTGTAAATATTTTATCACTATGTGAACAGAATGCCAGATTTTTTTTTTTTTACAATTATATTTCTGTCATCTTGTATTCATATTTTTGGCCAAAATATTTACTTCCATTTTGTCCTTTATTTTTAATTTCGGTCCAACTCCCTCGCCATTATATTCAGCTGGTGTTGATTTTTTTCCTCATTTTCTACTGTTTCCTTTCTTTAAATTTCGCTCTTTTAAGGGAGAGACCTATGTTGTTCATATCTCTTATTATTTCTATACTCTGTATTTTATTTAGCATTTCTCCATGTAAAATCATTTCATCTTCTGGCCTTTTTTCTTCTTTTTGTCTTTCTTCTTCTTTTTACATTGTCCTTCATTTTGCCTTTTTCTTCTTTTTGCCTTCTTCTTATATTTGACATTTCTTCTTCTTGATTTTCCTTTTTGTTTTCTTTCTCCTTCTCTTTGACCTTTCCTTTCTTTTTGTCTTTCTTCTTCTTTTTACATTGTTCTTCATTTTGCCTCTTTTCTTCCTTTTTGACTTTTTCTTCTTTTTGCCCTTTTCTTATTTCTGCATTTTCTTCTTCTTCCTGACTTTTTCCTTCTTTTTGCCTCACTTCTTCTTTTTGACTTTGTTTCTTTTGCCTTTCTTCTTCCTTTTGCCTTTCTTGACTTTTTCTTAAACCGGAAATTCAAATTTTGTTGCATGTTTCCTTGGACAAATACATAAAAAATAGATTTAACCTCATTGATAATTCGCTGAGCAAATAAAATCGGTTTTAATTAATCCCGTCAATAATATTTTGTATTTCAATTAGTTAAATGATATTTAATAAGTAAAATGGCTCAGTTCATGGACATATTACTGGGTCATCTGACATAGAGTGACATTTGACTTTACCATAATAGTTTATATTTTCGCCATTGCATTGAACTAGCGAAAGATGTCTTTCCAAAGCCAAGCAACGTACCGAGAAAAATTTCGTCAGAAACAAAGAAAAGATTGCTAGATTGCTATGTGATATACATCTTCTTACATGGCAATGAATGCTGGACAATCTCCCCTTGGATGAGGAGAAAACTAGATGCAACAGAAATGTGGTTCTACAGAAGGATACTGAAAATTCCATGGACGAAATGAGTAAGTAGCAAGGCAGTCTTAAAGAAAACGGCAACAGAAAGAACACTTCTACTCAGAATCAGGAAAAGATAGCTGAAATGCATACTGAGGGATAGAGGAAGGCAGCGAGCCATTTACTCGCTCGTGTGAATGAATGGCGGAATGGGGGGGTAGCAAAGGGAGAAAAACTGCTAAGAGTCACATGAGACAGGAAGTTGTGAAGAACTATGATCGCCTATAAGAGACGCGGTACGTAGATGTTGATTATTAATAGAATTGCTAGCATGAATGGCAAAGAGTGTTTTGTTGTTGTAGATTTCTCGTCACTAATGCGTTGTGTTATAAAACCTCTTAAACTGATATGTGAGTTTTCTTAAATTCTTAAAGCATAAACCAAAAGAAATTGATATAATGGGATGTTCGGAATGAAAGAGGAAGTATCTTGACCTGCTCTAATCTAAAAGGCCCACTATGGTCGTCAGAATAACCGAGATATGGTAAAACCTTTACAAAACAAAAGAAAGGAATAGAAAAACGCAAAGTAATGAACTCCAAATCTAAGTTAAACATAAAAGCATTTTATATAAAAAATAGAAGTATACCTATATAAGTCATATTAACATGTGGCACACGCGCACACACACGCGCACACACACGCTCACACACACTCTCATAGATAGATAGATAGATAGATAGATTTAAATGTATTACTTTGTTAATCCGAAATTATTATTAATATTATTATTATTATTAATACTATTATTATTATTATAAACGTTATCTTTTGTTTGGGTTGACCTCTCTGTTTTATTTAAACTCTGAAATTAATATCAACCGGCCTATAACGAGAAGTCACTCTAAAGAAAAATATGCCTCCCAACAGGAAGGCACTTTTTTCTTTTCTTCGGCTATGAGAGTGATTTCCATGATGAAAAAAAATATAGACTCGATTTCTGTCGGGAGTATCATTTTTCTATAATGATACTTCTCGACACAGTCCAGTTGAAATTAATTTAACTGTTTAAGAAAATTAAAAACAAGCAGAGATATTTACCTATAGTCAATATTCGGGTTGATATATATTTTATACTCGAATCTAATAAATAGAAAGGAAAGTCATTTCAATGTAACTAAACAAGCAGAATCTGGTACAGTGGTTAAATTGAGGTGTGGTTTGATGTAATGCCCCTTTTTCAATGGCTGATTACCGTCCTTGTCAATTACCAGTGGTTCTATTGTGACAGAAAAATTTTAATGCTGTGCATACATTTTGAAAGTTTCAGATAAAGAAAAAATATTACAAATATTAAAATATTAAACTTGAACTTGAATTTTATGTGCTCTCTCTCTTCAAGAGGGGGTGGGCGATCGTGGTTCAACACAACTTTCTGTCTTTTGTTGCTTTAAGTAAATTTTGATATTTTACTATCCTTTGTTATTGTTCGGTCATCCATTCATACAAATTCGTTGGTTACTAGTTATTCCCCTTTGCCATCAATTTATCTTGTGCGTGTTAGATTCTCCAGGCCAACTTTCCTCATTCTGTATTCCAGAAATTTCTCGTCTAAATTGTAAGTACAGTTTTACTTGTTGTTCCTATTTTCTTTAAAAATTCTTGTTGCTCACATTTTCAGTCCACGGCATTCGTCAGCATTCGTCGGTATAACCATGTCTCTTTCGCTTCAAGTCTTTTCTTCATATTCGCTACCATATAGGAAATAAGATTTTACATAACAGTTCAGTGTTCCTTTCCATTGTTGAGTTAAAAGTTAAAACTTCCTCATTGTTCACATATTTAATCTATGTCATTCTCATCATTCGTTGGTAAAACCGCGTTTCTGTTGCTTCAAGTGCCTTCTTCCCTGCCTTATAGGAGTTAAATTCTAAATTCTTAGGTGAAGAACAACTAATCACAAAGCTGTAGAATATCATAAGGATTTTAAAAAAAAAAATTTAGAAAAAAAAATAGATGCCACTTCACTTGCTCTTAATAATGTATCAAAATATGATGTTAGATCAAAATAAAGATTGTTTATCATGACAGAAAGACACTGAGTTTTCTTCAGTTATGAGGAACAATTGTACTATCAATGAGGCTCCTTGCTTTGGGCGTCTATTGGGACTCAAGTTCATACCAGACCTCAGGTGGAATTCGCTTATATGAACCGTTGCTGAAAATGCTGGAATAATAATCGATTCACCGTACCACATCAGAAACTATGACTCCCCTTGTATATGGTGTATCTTTACAAGAATCAGATAAGACCAAAATAGACGATTGCTGCCATATCAAGGCTGGGGATATTCAAATCTTCTTTTAATAATGTACCAGATTATTTCTAGTGAGTCCAACTTGTTTAACTGTATCGGCTCAAAAAACTGAACGAAAGCGATTTTTTAATAAAAGTCATGTATTATTTTTGCATGCGAATTTTTGTATAAAATATCATTCTTAAATATTATCATTTTACTAATGTCCAACCAATGCAAGAACCAAGAGGCACACAAAGTAGAGTGATAGTGAATGAGGTTGCTGTACTAGCATAAAAGTAGAGAATAAGAAGCATATTAGGAAGATAGGTAGAATAGATAATGTTTGACTCTCGACTTGAAGAGGTGAAGAGAAGTCCGTCCCATAATGAAACAGTTCTAGAGAAGAAGTTGTATAAGTTGAAAGTCTTCCTTACCAACGGAATACGAAAGGAATGAGGACAATTCGATCCCATGCACGAGGCAGGATGGATCCTAGCTGAGAAGATCTGGTGGAACTAAGGAATATAGCTCGTCTGTCGTGAAGATAGCGTTAGACTAGCGAGAGACAAGCAACGTGTCGTCTGTGGGTGAGAGGTTGTAGGGTTGAGAATAATTCATTACCGACAATGCCAGATAAAAGTTTTTGAAACCTATCAATACTGGAGAGTAAAGATTGG